AATAATTCTTATCAGCACTACTTCTAGTACTGATATGCAACATAAGTAGTAAGGCATGTACTCCTGCCACTTGAATTCAACTTTAATTTGGGAGAAACACAGGGAAGGAGGAGGGAAAGGGATGAGAAGAAAAATAAAAATAATAATAAACCAACCAAAACTGGACCTGATGGAGTTGGGTGTAACCTGTGGAATCCCCAAGAATATATTAAAACCACGTCGAAACCTGTCCTTAAAGCAGGGTTCCCTAAAGCTCTATCCAAAATGAAACACTGCAGTGATGGGCAGAGGAGGAGCATGCTTGGGATGCCCAGGAGAAGGCAGCTCTGGGAGGGGGGGGTCAGGGCAGTCCTGTCCCCACCACGCTGCCACGGTCCCCATGCCACCAGGAGGAAGGAGCCTCCTGCTCCTCTGCTCGCCCTGATTGCCTGCAGCTTCTGGAATTCCTATCTCTTTTTTTTCTTTTTTTTTTGTGAGTAAAATTGCTCAAAACAACAACAACAATGAAAAAAACCCAACCCTCTGGAAAGAAAAGAATCAAAAACAGTTTCATTGTGAAGTCTCTGGGAAGGTATGAAAGGCCCGACTGCTCTTCGCTGAATTAGAAAGACTGAACAGAGGTGTTTGCTCAGTAAATTAGATTTTAGACTACCAACAGTTCAAAGTCTATTCAAAACAGAATTCCAACAAAAGTGAGAGACTCCTGCACTGGTTCCCATCTACCAGAGAAGTTTTGGTGGCAGCCAGTCCCTTATGGAAAAAAAAAAAAAACCCAAACCATACTCAACTGGAATTTTGAGTTTGCACTTATTTATCATTAGATCATCATCAGAAGGTTATGAAACATTAGAATCTGGAGACTGCCTTCCTGGCTGGAGGAGGGGCAGGGAAGAGGAGCAAATATGAACTCGGCTCACTAAATGTGTCTGCAAGTCTGGCTGAAATTCCTCTCTCCTGGAAGTGATGTCCACGCTCGAGGGCAAACGGGGACTTGTTCCTACAGAAACCGAAGGCAGAGAGTCGTTGAGTCCTCCTTTTGTGCTGGTGGTGACCCAAAAAAATCCAAACTAAATACATAAAGCCAAAAGGAGAAAAGAAAACAAAAAAAAAAAAAAAAAAAGGATTCTTCCCTTTCCCTGACAGCCTTCATCATCATCATCATCAGTCACTGAATGTGAGAACCAGAGGAGCTCGAGTCCTTCCCACCCGCGCGGTGTCGGTTTCATCGCAGGGACAGCAGCACTCGATGGGATGAGGAGTGGTCTTCTTGCATCCTATAAAGCCTGGGGCATATCCAGCTGGGATTAAAGCAGATTCCACTGTAATGTGGTATAAAAAGGATGGCAGAAACAGGAAAGTCTTCCTCTCGGGCGCTCCTCTGCATTATTTCCACGTGGCAGACTGTGGGATGGACCGTGGGGGGATCATATCCAGGAGATACTCGCGCTGGCGGTCTACTGCTGAAGACGACTTGTGCACAGCTAAACTAGGGTTGACAAAGGGTAGAGCCCCACCTGAGGAGAGGGAAAAGAGGAGAGAAGTGTCACAGGATGCTACAAACAGGAGACACACCAGTGGTAAACCCACGCTGCTTGCACTCCACCCACGTGAACATGGATCGTCTGGGCGCTATTAAGGGCAAGGACCTGGGGAAGGTGAAAGCTTCCAAAGTAATTCAAACAAAGAGGGGTAAGATTTGGTACCAGACATGAAGATTTGAGCAGGCTAGAGCTCTCTGCAATGGAATTAGGTTTTAAATGATAAATTAGGCTAGCAGGAGTAAATAAAATTCAAAGAAATCCATTGAAGGCTAGGCAATAAAATAGATCACAAGAGAGCTATTGGCTACAGTGTTTGCTTCCTGGAGATCCTCTTCATCACTGAAGCAAATGAATGACACTTCTCAAGTCAGATTCTTACATATATAAAGAAAAAACTAGGCTAGAATTTGTAATTTCCATGTGTTCAAAGCAACAGCTGTAGTTGTTTCCATCCCTGAGGAGTGCTGGGAGTGTGTGCTGCAGCCCTACCTAGAGCAAAGCGTCTGCAGCTGTAAATATCCCATCTGAAACTGCTGCTTCAGCAGAGGCAACACCAGCCAGACACTGAACAGCTCAGTTCAGACTCCCAGAAGTGAGTGACTGGCTCCTGCAGCACAGTGCTGGCCACACACAGGGGCTCAGGAGTGAGCAGTGGGGTGTCACATCTCTCTGGGTCTCACCAAGCCCCTGCAGCGCTCCGGGCTGGGGCAGAGAGACTGGGAACTGCCTGGTGGAAAAGGAGCTGGAGGGGTTGGCCAGCAGATGGGTGGAGATGAGCCAGGCTGGGCCCAGCATCCTGGCCTGGATCAGCATGAGTGTGGCCAGCAGGACACCAGGGCAGGGTTTGTCCCCTTGCATTGGGCACTGGGGAGGGTGCCCCTCAAAACATGGGGTCAGTTTTGGGTCCCTCACTCCAAGAAGGACCTTGAGGGGCTGGAGCATGGCTAGAGAAGGGCAACGAAGCTGCTGGGGAAGGGTCTGGAGCCCAAGTGTGGGGAGGAGCAGCTGAGGGAGCTGGGGGTGCTGAGCCTGGAGCAAAGGAGGCTCAGGGGAGACCTTCTGGCTCTGCACAGCTCCTGACAGGAGCCTGGAGCCAGGAGGGGGTCGGGCTCTGCTCCCAGGCAACAGCACAAGGCAACAAGGCCTCAATTTGCACCAGTGGAGTTGTAGGTTTGACCTGAGGAACAATTTCTTGCCCTGGAGGGTTGCCCAGGGCTGTGCCAGGCTGCCCAGGGCAGTGGTGGAGTCCCCACCCCTGGAGGGGTTTCCAAGCTGTGGAGATGTGGGGTGAGGGACACGGGGCAGTGGGGACCTGGCAGTGCTGAGTCTGAACTCACTGATTTTAAAGGTCTTTTCCAACCACAACAATTCCATGACTATTTACATGTGTAAAGCAGCAGGTTTTCTTTGGTGACACCACCCAATGGCCCCTTCTGATGAGCACAAACCACCCCAAAAGCAAACGCCAACAAGAGCTTTAGGATCAACACCTCAGTGCCACGGGGTTTTCATGCAGGGAGTGTCAAAGAGAAACCATCCTTACCCAAAGAGCTACGAGTGTGGACAGAGTGCAGCTACTAACTACAAAGAGAAGGAACTTTAGAGAAAAATCTACCTGTGTTGATGGGAGTCTTCTTCCAGGCGGCAGCGCTGCCCTTGCTGACAGGTCTCTCAGCATGCTTACCTGGCCTACTCCCAAGTGCTGCTGCAGACGAGGCATTCTGCAACTTGGGGGACTGGCTAAATGCATGCAACACTCCTCGGGGAGCTCCAGGAGGACCTCGAGACATCTGGCTAGAACTCTGGCAAGAAAGCAAACAGTGAGACAGGCACGGCAGGTTTCTGTCTCTAAGCACAGTACCCCTCATGGTTCTTTACTGCCCTGCTCTCCTTTCTTGGCTGCTTCTGCCAAATGTGGAATTCATTACCATAGTTTCAGGGCTGAAAACGTCCAAGATATCTCTACAACAAATTAACAATCAGCTTTCTGCTTCTCAAAGCACCTGTAAGGATGAGGAATTATCATCAACTGCAAAGCAGCAAAAAAAAAAAGTGCTGTGTAAGCACCTCTGTTCACAGGCAGCACCACTGCCCTGTCCTCAGCCAGCACCACGATGACTTCAACTCAGAGCAGCACTCGAGCAGCTTCTGTCTTCCTCCAGCTGAAAGGGGCTTTCACAAGGTGTGTCAGACCCAGGCTCTGCCATGGATGGTTGCTGCCACCACCTTAAACCTTCACAAGCACCATGATGTGTTTCTGGCTCAAGCTAGGTTCTTTCCTCTCTCCTACTATTTAATTTTCTATTTTTTATTTTCTATTTACTTTTGTGTCTTTGTTGCTAGATCACCTCTTTTCATTTGGCACATTGTAAAAGAACATTCAGGAGCAGACTTTGCAGGATGCGAGTTGAACACCCTGGACAATTACAGCCATTAACAGTTGGACTTGGCCTTAAAGGTCCCTTCCAACCAAAACAACTCATTCACTCTGCAAAAAAAAGCCACTGCTCTCTTCTGCTCTTCAACTTAAATATCAAGTCCCCCCAAAAAATCACTTTTATCAGCCTGGTTTTAAGCTTACAAACACCCCGTGGAGCTTCAATCAAGCGGGTTCACGCGCCAGCTCCACGCCTGCACCCCCAACCCTTGAGCTTGGAGCCCCGGGACCTTTGTCCCACCATCACTAGGGCTGAGGTGGGGTTCCTCACCTGCTTGAGGGAGTGGTGCTGCACGATGGGGTCGGCCTTGCTGGGCACAGGGGAGGCAGTCTGCTGCAGGAGCCGCTGCTCGATCTCCTGCTCCTGCTGCAGCGCCTTGACGAAGGCGGCCTTCAGCCGGTTGGTGTGCTCGGCCTTCAGGGCCTTCTTCTGGTTGGAGGTCATGCAGGTTTCACACATGATGGTTCCGTTCTTCTCCTCCCTCCAGCGGCAGGTGAAGTCAGTCTTACACTGAGCACACATGTAGGGCTCACGAGAGGACACAGCCACAGAGACTTTACCTGCAGAACACAACCCGCCTGGCTCAGCTCCCGCCGTGGCTTCCACAACAATCCTTGAGAATCCTCAAGAAGATTCCAGTGTGAATAAAAAAACACCCTCAAAGCAAACCCTCCACCCTTAAGTCTCTTCAATCTGAAGCCTTTTGCATTACTAGATCTTTGAACTCTTGACACAGGGTCCAGTAAATAGTTTAGATCTAGTTAAGAGAATTTCGTGGTGATGGACAGACCAGAGGCTGACAGCTCAACTCTGGGGAGAACTGGATGCACTTTAGAGATATCTTTATAATCACTGTCTAGCCTAGGAGAGACAGTAACTTTTTGTTTTTAGGCTTTTTTACAATTTTAAAGTTTGAAAATTATGAAAGGAAGTGAAGCCTAGATTTGACTGAGTATGACAATTCAATTTTGCAATGTCTGAAACTCATTGCTGCCTGCTGTGGAGGTGAAGCTCTCAAATCCTCAGCACAAAAAGGACATGGAACTGTTGGAACAGGTCCAGGAGGCCACAAAACTGATCCAGGGGCTGCAACCCCTCTTCTAGGAGGTCAGGCTAAGAGAATTGGGCCTGCTCAGCCTGGAGAAAAGGACTCCAGAGAGACCTTGTGGCCTTTTAGGATTTCAAGGGGCCTGTCAGAAAGCTGGGGGGGGGACTTTTGAGCAGGGCCTGTTGGGACAGGACAAGGCGGGGATGGTTTTGAACTAAAAAGAGGGAGATTTAGACTAGAGAGAAGGGAGAAATTTGTGATGCTGAGGGTGGTGAGCCCCTGGCCCAGGCTGCCCAGAGAGGTGGTCGCTGCCCCATCCCTGGAACCATTCCAGGGGAGGTTGGCCGGGGCTCTGAGCACCCTGCTCTGGTTGGGGATGTCCCTGCTCCCTGCAGGGGGGTTGGACCAGATGGGTTTTAAAGGTCCCTTCAGCCCAAACCAGTCTATAAAGTCCAGAAGGGAAAGATTCTCTCCTCACTTTTGAGGAACGTTTTGAACGCTACCTCACCTTGAGTCTCCAGCAGATTCTGCACAACTTCTTCCAACCCGACCAAGTAAATGAACTCGTTGTTGGCTGCGCTGGGCAGGAAGTTCATCTCTGGCGCCGGGGGCTTGGGAGGAGGGATCTCCAAGAGTGTCTTCTCCAGCTGCTTCCTCAGGGCGAGCTTGGCGGGAGCTTGCCGGCTGGCCGGCGACTCGCTGGAGTTGCCGATGGACGCGGCGCTGGTGGTGGTGGCGTTGGCCTGAGCAGATGTCACGGTTGTACCTTTGATTGAAGTGGGTGAAGCCTGGGGGGAACAGGACACAGCTTCAGGGACCAGCAGCAGAGGGGTGGGTGCTCTCCAGGCACGTGCTGCTCTCCACCGAGAGGGAGGGGAGCAGCGCTGGCTCCGGGGGAGATGAAGGTTGGTGGCGTGGGACAAGACCCAACCTCCTGCCTCCATGTCTAACTGCTGTAGGTGACCACAGAGACCACAACGTACATTTACTTCAACATTGTACCTGTTGTCTTAATGCTCTTATTCTTTCCCCAAGAACTTTGGTTTTATTTACTAATTGCTTTTTGTAAGGTAGGTTCATAAATGGTAAAGAAAAAGGCAAAACGTCCTCTTCCTTCTGATTTTTGTCACAGCTCTGACCCTAAATTGTTTCCTTTATCTACAGCCCTTGTTTGTCAGGATCAGTGCTAGGTGTTAAGCTGCTGCTTCAGTATCTCTTGGTGTTTCACACCAGAGCTCTGGCCCAGGGTGAGCTCTGTTTACCTGGACACCCAGCTTTCTTAAGGGAGAGAGGAAAAAACCAAAATCCCCAGGAGGGGTCACAGATACCCCATCCCTGGAACCATTCCAGGGGAGGCTGACTGGGGCTCTGAGCACCCTGCTCTAGCTGGGGATGTCCCTGCTCCCTGCAGGGGGGATGGATGAGATGGGTTTTAAAGATCCCTTCCAACCCAAGCCATTCTATGGTTCTGCAATATTCTAACAGACAGCTTCATATTGAAACACCAAATGTGGAACAAGGGACAAAATCCACTTCACTGTTTCCTCCCAGCCCTCCGGGATGGTTTCCTCACGTGTAACGGAGGCGAATGGAGAAAAGGAGTGCAGGAGGGGGAACAAGGAGCAGCAGGAAGGTCTCCTGCAGGACCCACCTGCGGGATGTTGACCAGCAGGCTGGTGTTGGGGACGTTGGCGACGCGGATCAGCCCCTGCTGGATGATCCTCTGGCCCTGGATCTGCACGCTGGGGACCGAGGCGCGCGGCGCCAGCAGCAGCGGCGGCGGCCCCGTGCTGGAGTGCTGTCGGATGTTGTGGATTTGCTGGGAAGACACAGAAATGGGCTGATGGGATGGGGGCCGTGAGGATGGGGAGGGTCAGAGAGAGGGGAGGGGAGTGGCAGGAGTCGAACGGGAGGATGTGAGAGAGTGGAAATGAGGCAAGGCAGAGAACGCAAAGGGAGGGTGAGATTTAACACCCGTGGCAAAACGTGAGGTCGTCCCCTTCCCCTCTGTCAAAATGAGGCAAGAAGGATGTAAGGTTGAAAAGAGAGGCTTGTATCTGAGGCCATCACACCACAGCCAAAAATCTAAGTCAGATTTCTTTCAAAACAAATAGCTGTTAAACCCATTTCATTTCAAAGGCATTAGGAAAGTGAGTCCTTCGAATGAAGTTTTCTCCATCATCAGAACAGAAAGGAAATGAACTACCACATCTCCACCTTCTTGCTTAATCCTGGCTGTGCAGCAAATAGAAGCAGACCTTTCACTGCAAAATAAATCCTTATTTAACAAGGAAGGATTTTTTTCCTGGTATCCCAGGGAACTCATGATTTTCTAGTACTGGCTCAAGTTGTACATTGCTTTCCTACCCCTTCCATGACACTGCTGTTCTCTGTCACAGGAGATGCAGACCCTGAGAAGCAGCACCTCCAGACTTCCCATTCCCTGCCTCATTTCAGCACCTCTTACTCAATTCCAAGATAGAAATGATGAAGAAAAAAAAAACCCCAAGTTTTAGCCTCTGAAAAGGTGAACTTGATATGACAGAAATAATAATGGGGGGGAAAGAAAGAATGAGGGATTGTGTTTCATTTCCTCTGCTGCCACTCTCCTAAAAAGCAGGTGAGGCTAGAATCCTGGAAATGAACTTTCCTAATAAAAGTAATAAGAAATTCCAGCAAGAACTTCACGGGTTCCTTCCAGACAAGCTGAAAGGTGACTAAGGAAAGAGTTAAGAGGCATTCAGGCAAACCAGAGTGTCTCTACCACCCATCAAACACTCACCTGAGCTCCTCTGACAAGAGGTGGCATCACTATCTGCGTGTTCTGCTGAGTTCCTAATTTTGAAGACGTCTGCTGCCCTCCACGGACCAAGGGAGGGGGAATAACAGTGCCTGGGATACGTGTAGAAGAGGTCTGCAAAAGAGAGGAGAGGTTGCTCACATCGTTCTGTTCTGCTTTATTTGGATGCCTGCTCTCTGCTGCTGCTCAGCGTGCTGCAAAGCAGTGTCTGAGACCTCAGGCAGCAACACAGACGTGGTGGCAGCCTGGCTACCTGCTCAGGGGCTCTTCCCTCTCATCCTGCACAGAATTCAAAAGGTGAGGAGCAGTTCTGACCAACATTTCCACCTGCCCTCCCACCGCTCAGGAGCTGCCGTGCTGGGACACAGCAGAGGCACAAACCAGGACCCCAGGATGAGAGTGGGGGGGACACAGGGCAGCTCTCCTCTCTGGATCTGGCTGTAGGACAAGAGGTGGCCAGGCTGGCTCTGGTGCAGTTAGTGTTCAAAAAACATTCAAAAGACAAAATAGTGTGTTTTGGAGGGGAGTAAGAGAAGGGGGAAATACAAATTGGTGCCTTCAGGGAGAAGCTCGGGGCAGACAGAGGTTGGAGATGCAGGAACCCAGGGAGGTGAGCACTGGGCATGTGCATCCATGTGGGAAGGGGAAAAAGAGACAGGAAAAGGGGAAAGTTTTAGAAAAAATGAGCAAGAAAAGGAGTCAGTCTACGGAAGTTTGAAAAATTGCTGTCCCTGCTTTTTGGGCTGCAGAGTGCATTAAATCCTCAGTTTCCCATGGTCTCATCACTCAAGCACCATCATCTGTGCCAGAGGGCTTCTAAACACACCCAAGCTCCCCCTGTGAGGAGTCACCACGTGCACACACACCCCCTCTTTAGGTAGGTGGGAAGTTTTATCCACTGCTCTTACACCTTTCCAAGGAAGGTGAAATGTTAACTCCTATGCACAGGAATTAGTAGAGTTTTTCCAGTCAAGCCAAAGCAGATGGAGGTTAGGTTAATTTGCCCAAACACCACAGATGAGACAGAACAACTTCAGTCCTGGATTCTTAGCTCCCAGCTCTCTGCTCTGTCCAACCAGAGTGTCACTGTTTGATGGCTGAGGGTTTAACTCGTGGTCCAGTTCCTCTGAAAGTGCTGTCTTCTGTGCAGGCAACTTGCCTCGAGGAGGAGATTACTCCAGCTGACAGACTGCTTTAGGTTTTGGGAGTGTTTCCTGAGTGCACAGCAAATTTACCCCTTCCCTCGAGTACAGCCTTCTGGGGGATTTTGAGATGAGAAGTTGCTGTTTTCCAAGGGAAAGCATTTTGTGCTGAAGCAGTTTTGAAATTTGTTTCGAATTAGCACAATGTAAATAACCCGAAATGTTTTAAATCCAAAAGCAAAACAAGATACTGGACTCCAGAGGAAGATTAGGTTAACAGATGTCAATTCCCTCTGCTGAGTGGTTTTTTTTTTTTTTCTTCTTTCCCCAAGGCTTTCTAACATTTAATTTAGTCTGAACCAAGATCTCTCCTGCCATCGTGTGCCATTCAGCCACCAAGCCAGATGAGACCATCCTACAATCCACTCAGCTCTTGCAGTTAATCACACTGAGGGCACAATTAAGTCTCTTGAGGGTAGGGCAACAGGCTGCCACAGTCCTATGACATAACTCCGTGGCTTCCTTTCTCACCAAGGGTCATTAGTCCTGCTATGGACATTATTTACCAGCAGAGTGGATCAGCCACTGAAAAATAAGCTCATGAGAGTTCTCTCTGTGTGACATCCTGCGTTCATCTCCCACCCCTGTCGCTCTGAAAAAGCTGACAGTGGGGTCTGGGGAGTTAAAACTAAAATCCCAGGTGGCTCCAAGCCGTGAGGTGTGTGGGGACTGTCCTCCCTGTCCTGTGCATGCCCTGAGCCTGGCAGCCTGGCCCACCCCACTGACCTGGAGGGATGGCTTGCCAGCAGCAACGCTCTGCGGGCCCCGCACCAAGGGCGGAGGGGTGGCCACAGCACTCCCAGAGGAACCAGCAGGCTGGAAGAGGAAAAACCAGAGAAGAAAGCAGACGAGTGTAAGGGTGGAAGCAGAATTACAGAAGCTCAGGGAATAAAAGCGTTTAGCTCCTTGCACCTCAGAGAACCTTCAAAGGCTGTGGCTTTCCCCCTCCCCATCCCTTTCCTCCTTCAAGCATCTCAACATGCACAGTTAAATGAAGAAATGATTAGGTGAGTATTGATAAAATTACACCAGGAGAATAAAGAGTCGATACACCACAAGCAGAGCAATGTGGAAATCTTTTGTAGCAGTTGCAGCTTAGAGCCCACTTCAGTCTTACCCACCATTACTACTGGTCTCAACCAGGCTCAAGCATTATGGAAAGTGAAAAAAAGTTTAGGGAAAAAGACATCAGGTATTAACAGAAGTTTAGGATATGCCACTTCACCCTCGTTAGTTCAGACATACAGAGCTCATTGCTCCAGGTTCAAAAAAGCTGAGTGATGCAGGCGCTTGCATTGGTTTTAATTCCATCTACTGAAGCACTCAGGAACCAACAACCCCCCAAAAAACCAGCCAAGAGAGCTGCATTAGCACCCTGCTGTGCCAGGAAACCTACACATCACCCCCAGCACAGAACCCACCAAGTCAGCATCACACGCTGGAAAATAAAACTCTTTGGTTGCCATTGTTACAGATCCTTGAAATTCAACCTGTGCCTGGAGAGCAGCACGTGGGGCATCTGCACACCCCCTCAGCCTCCTCTGCTCCTGCCACCCACCACCCTCCGGGGCCAGCAGAAAGGAGCAGATGGGGCAACCAGTGGGACAACAAGGTGGACGTTTGGCTGGGGTAGATTCTGATGAAAACAGCTCTGGATATTACACATGGTTGTGTGAGATGAGGGGTGGGGAGAGAAGAGGAGGAAGGGAAGAGGGAGTTTGAGGTGTGGGGGCTGAACCATTCCTTCCAGGGTTTTTTTTTTTGGGTGATGAAGCGTGCAGCTAAACACAGACTTACTTCACCTGGTAGGACCTGGAATCCAGACCTGGGCTTCTGCCACACAGCACAAGACACAGCCCTTGTCCACCAGCTCCCAGAGCCTGGGGCTCAAACGTCCCAACTCTACCTGTCAGCACGTCTGTCAGGTGCAAGCATCTCCTCCAGAGGTACTTCAGCCACCTCTACAGGGCATGAAGGACTGGACTGAGCGTTGGATAATTGCTTTTAACAAAAAGGTCTTTAGGTTTTGAGTACTGCTGATAGCATAAACTGTCTTGCAGGGCATTTCACTGAAAGGAATGGTTACCAGGATAAGCCACTATGCTCTTCATGAGGATTTTGTGAAAAGTGAGATAGAGTTTTATTTGAAAGCCATCTTAACGTTCCACAGGCTGTGGCAACTGCCACAGTTCATTTTTCCTCTCTGTTTCCAAAGAGAATTATCTGCAAGGGAAAGAAATACCTTCTGAGTAGTGGTCTCCTTCTGGATTTGACTTTGCCGTAGCTTCTTCAACAGCACCAGCTTGGCCTCTTCTAACCGTAACTCCTCCTTCAGCTGCTTGATCATCCTCTCACGCTCCTCTGGGCTGCTCTTCTGCAGGGAATGAGGAAAAAACGTGCCAAAACAGTTACAACAAGAACTCACAGCACTGCCATTGTCATGCACCTCTTCATCTCACTGACATGCCTGCAATAGATGGACACTGAGTGTGGAGGAACAAGCCAAAAGCAAAACAAAATGACTTTTGGGGGTATTTTCAAGGAGCAAAACGTAAATGAAGATCAGATGACAAGTCTGTGTTCTGCTGTACTGAGTGAGGGACACTGCAGCTACCAAAAAGCCAATTCTGTAAAAGGTGCACTTTCAAAGCATATAAAAACTAAGGAGTTAAGAGCTTGAGGAAAATAAAAAAGGCCACCCTCCTTTAAGAGCTTCAAGCTCCCCACTTTCAAACCCATCTTCACAAACCCACGCATCCACCTGACCCTGCCAGGGCAGAGGCCTGTGCAGAACAAGTGGTGGGTTTTCTTCTTCCTAGATGGCACAACTCAGAGCGTGCCAGGAGCAGACTCACCATGAGTGCCTCTGTGTTGGTCTCTTTTAATGCTATTTTTGTTAAACCATTCATTCTAGGGCTAGAAGGCTCATTGTCAGATAACACTATAACGTCCGGCGAGGGCACTCTCTTTTCCCTCTTGACTTCACTGAAAACCAAAAGAAAAACACAGAGAGTGAGTTAAAAGCAAGCAAAGAACCACTTCATGCTGCAAAGTAACATTATTTACAACCTTCTGCTAAACTAATCCAGCACCTCTCCACTTCTGAGTGAACTCCACGTGGATGAGCTCAACCACTTTCTGCTCTCCTTGGTGAGATTTCCCACTACAAATCCATCCCTCCCTTTTTCTTTTCCCTTTCTGAATGCAAATATTCCCAAGTTGTGACTCTTCCTCAGCCAGGTTCCCAAATCTGAGGAAACCCCACATGAACAATTCACTGCCATGCACTTACCTAACTTTAAGTACTTTCTGGCACCATTTCTTCCTGCACCAACACTATTAAATTCTTTATTGATAACAGCAGAAATCTGCAAGAGCCTTCACAGAGAGGGACACATCCACCCACCTCCATCAAAACCCCTGAGCCACGTCCAGACTTTGATTTTAACTCTTTATTTGGCTTTAACACTCAGTGTCTTGAGTGAGGGCTGCACACTCCACCTGAACTGACAATAACTCACCTCTCAGCTCCATCCCCTACAAACATCACACGGGAACAGGACCTGAAACTGAATGAGCCCAGAGGGACAGAGATGACACGATGTGACACAGATGCCAGGTCACTTCTGGTACCAGGATTTGGGATTTCAGACTGGGAAGCAGAGTATTTCAGAGGAAGGTGTGCAGTGTGTGATGATTGCTGAGAGGTTTAGCAGGAGCTTCATGGGACCCCAGAGCCTTCTGCACCACCCCAGAAGGATGACAGTGCTTGGGAAAGGGCTGGCAGTGAGAATTTTAGGAGAAAGTAACACAGGGAATTGTATTTTTCCTGTAATGCCAAGCCAGAAGCAGGACCAGTGAAGTTTACAGGGAGAACCTTCTGTTATGCATTAGACAAAGTGCATCAAGAATTTTTACCATGGGAGTTGAAGCAAATATTTAAGTGTGGTGTGTATCACTGACAAATCAGAGATGTGGCATATCAAGCTTTGTACTCTTAAATATCAGGCAATTACTTCCTAGACTAATCCATTTCCAGACTTAACTGATATGCTGCATTTAGGAGGAACTCAATGACAAGCAGAAATTCATCCTTAGTGATGCAGAAGATACCCCCACTGAAAAGCTGTGCCCTCCATGAGCTTTGTGGAACACCTTCAGCTCGGGGCAGGTCAAACAGCATTTTAGGTGCTGCAAACTCAGCCTCAACTACTGTAAAAAGCAACTTTTAAAATGCAATTTCCACGTTATAGTGGAAAAAAATCAAGGAAAAAGTAGAGTGTCCTCTAGAGGGCACAGCAAGCCAGTAAACGGGAGCCTTTTAAACCCGGGGGTTGTTTCCCAATCAGCAGTGGCACAGGTGAAGAAGTATTTCCAGCTTTTTCCTGCATCCAAAGGGACCAAACTGGCTCGGGTCACTCCTGCAGGGCAGGAAGGTCAGGCCAAGCTCTCGTTGGACTTCTCCTGGCAGTGGTGAATGACAGGCAGGGAAGGCACCATGCGTGGAGCTCATCCCTGCTGAGCCCTGCTCAGGTGAGAGCAGCTCTGGGAGAAGCTCTGAGGATTCTGCTGGCGGCAGGTGCTGGCTGTTCTCAAACTCTACGGCGGGATCCCTCACGGATTGTTCAGTCACCTAAAGAGCTCCAGAACCCCCTCAGCGTGGGGAGGTGTGTGCAGCCAAACCAGCTCTGCTCTCCAGCTCCACCCCCAAAGCAGCCCGCAGGGCGGTGTGTGTGCCAAGGGGAAGGGGTTTCCCCGCCCGGGGGCGATGCCCTGGCCCCTGGCCAGGCTGCTGT